TCCTTAAAGGATTTACTGTGCGAAAGGGGTAGTCGATCAGGCGGGGACAAATAAGCCTGAACGAGAACGCAAAAGTCAAGATATGGAGGGGAATAAGTGAGCGAGGGCGTAGGTGAACCAGAGAGCGAGAGTAGAGGTGTGTGAGAATAGGGAGTRWAGGGGGAGGGCGAGCCATCGGAGGGACGAATCTGTTGCCCGAGCAACTAGGCTAAGAAGAAACCAGAAACGCATGTGAGGTTGTGTGAACGAGAAATCGCGCGTAGTCTTAGGGATGTAAATCGACTCTTCAATGAACCTGTACAGGACCTCTGGACAGACACGCCGAGTCCTGAACGTTTGTCGGAATCCGATATATACTTGAGAAAGCACGCTCAAGCACGAGAAGGAAAGATAATTCAGCGATGTACCTGTTCAAGATCCCCGACTGGATTCTCTGAACCTGAATGCTTGCTTAAATCTGACATTTACTCTGAAGCACATGCCTTCACTGAAATGGGGGGATAATCACTCTATGCATCTGTTCAAGGCTACCAGTCTGATTAACTGAATCTTGAACGTCATTGGAATCATCCACGTGCATGAGGTGAAGGTGTGATACCCGACCAAACCCCTGACTCCTCAATCTGGCGCTTCAAGGCTGGGGAACAGGTACTCTGAACCGCTGGTGCGTGATTGAAACTGCTAATCCTGGACTGGGCCCTCCTGAATGAGGGAAAGGGGGAGCCGTGAAAAAAATCGTCATCCGTCAACTGTTAAAAGTGGGGTGTAAGAGCACATGCTTCAGGGGTTTGATATCTGAATCTGAAAACTCGCGCGCATCTGGCCCAACTATGGTGGGAATCGCAGAGAACTCTGTGCGCGCACCCTCTTCGTAAATGGGGAACTTGACGCCCTGACAAGCGGGCAGTGAGAAGCTGTCAGGACATCCGACAGGACCATGAACAGACAGTCATGCCAGGACAACGAAAATTCGGTGTGATTAAGGAAAAAGCTTCGGTTACCTGTGAAAGAAAACGGGAAAAGAGGTTGGATAGTCCGCTGCTCCTTGAGAAGTGAGCTCGTTTATTGGTTCTATGCCCTCCCCCCCTAGCACTCGTTGTCACCTCAAACTGGGGCAGTGGTGGTCCTCGGGCGGGACTGATGATTAAAGCAATGGACTGATTGGGGAACTGACTAGTGAGTGGTTTATACATCCCTTGCAAACCCCAACCTGTTAATGTGTAGACCCCTCTTTCAAGATTGGACTTATTGACTGAGAGGGGCAAGGCTTCTGGCTTAAGGGAAAGAGATAGAGGGGATGGACTTGTTTAAACAACAACACATCCATCAAGGGCCAGTTGATTGGCTCGTTCGTAAGAGAGAGAAAGAGAGAACAGTGAGAGGGAACAACCAGAGAGGACACCGCGAGTGAACAGCCAGAGAGAAGAAAGAGAGAGAGAGGGGGAGAGAGACAGGCTGCACGCACAGAGAGAGAGAGAGAGGGAGGGAGAGAGACAGGCTGCACGCACAGAGAGAGAGAGAGAGGGAGAGAGAGAGACAGGCTGCACGCA